CCGCGCCCCTATGCGGGGAAACGGTCCGCGCCACCGGGTCGGACCCGGGCCACAGCTTAGCATCTGCAGGGACAGAGGCTCTTCGAGGCAGCCGAGGGCAGCGCACGTTTGGAAGAAACGGGAAAGGGGCAGGGGTGTGGGTGGCCCTAGGAGAGGTGTCGCAGAGGATGGGAAGCAAGGCCCGCTCTAAGGTGGTGGCCTAAGGCGGGAGAGTCGGACCGGCTGAAGCCTGCGCTCAGGGAAGGGGTGCCAACGGGAACAACACCCTTCTTTCCTTTAAGAAAAAGGCTGGGGAAGCCGGGGCGAGTTCCAGGACAGCCTCCAAAACAATACAGAGAAACCCTGTCTCAAAAAAAAAAAAACTTGTTTGCAAAAAACGGTTATATTACTCCCAAATTACCACGGTAGTCTTCCTCTTGAATAGCGAAAAGATAAAAGAACATGCCGGATATAGTGATTCTTGACTTCAGTAATTCCAGAGGCTAGAGGCAGACGTAGGTGGCTCACTAAATTCCAGGCCAGTGGTCTATATAGCAAGTTCCAGGTTAGCTTGGGGTACATGCTGACATGACGCCCTGTCTAAAAAAAAATTAAGATTCAACTTTGCAAAATGCATTGTCCTGCCATTCTGCAGGTGTGTGAACTCAATAGAAAGATTTCTTAAACTGTGGAGTAACGATGTGGGGGTTCAAAAGAAAAAAAATTGGCCAACAGTGAGAAGTCTCCGAACACAACCTTGCAAGCCTAGGTTGCTTCTTGCTGCTGTTGCCTACACCCCAGTACTGCAGCTGTGGCTCTGGGGACACCCCAGTGCACTTGGCACTGCCATGACCTCAGGGTCACACGAGGCCAGCCAACAGTGCTTGAAACACCTTGGCAAGGATTCATCATGTAGGTGTGATTCGCACTGGTTTTACTGTTCGAAGTTTCCTGCTCTTATGTGAGCATAATGGTTTAATTACAGAAAACGAAGATATTTCCCCACAGTTATTCCTTAGCGCGTAAAAATTATAGTGCCATATCTTTGGATTGGATTCTAATAATATTTGAATTTAAAATTGCTGCAGCTAATTTTGAGTTTTGTTTGAGATTAGGGCAGAATTTCCAGCAATTTCTGAAATGTCCCTAAGTATACATTTTTTATATTTTTTAAAGTTTTATTACATTTATTTTTGATTCTAGACTTATATTCAAAATCATATATATACATATATATATGAAGTAGAAGTGAAATGGGATAAAGGGATTATGGGAAGGGGAATAGCAAAAAGAAGTGGTAAGAAGATATGGAGAGAAATGTATTCAAAATATATACTGTATGAGAATGTCTTTATGAATTCAATACCATGTATAAAGAATTTATATGCCAGGCAGTGGTTAGGCATACCATTAATCCCAGCACTCAGTAGGTAGAGACAGACAGATTTCTGAGTTTGAGGGAGGCCAGTCTGGTCTACAGAGCTAGTTCCAGGACAGCCAGGGTGGTTTTTCTGTATCACGGAGAAATCTTGTCTACAAACAAAATCAATCAAAACGACAAAAAATTTATATTATGGCATGCAGGTGTCTACACAAATAATTACATTTTAAAATATTAGGACTGTGAATGTAGCTCAGTTTGAAAAGTTTGCTTAGTGTGCATCAAATTCTGAGTTCAATTCTTAGCACCTGATGCACTGTGTAATCCCAGCATTTAGAAAGTGGAAAAGGAAAAATCTCAGAAGCTCAAGGTCATCATCCTTGGCTATGTAACAAGTTCAAGGCCAGTCTTGGCTACATGAGACATGTGTGTGTGTGTGTGTGTGTGCATGTATACTCAAATATATATTAGGATAAGTAGATGTGTATATAGTTTTGTTTGATTTTGCCATATTCTTCCCCAAAGTGTTTGTATTCCCCACCAACAATGTATAGGATTGCCTGGTTCCTCACCACAGACTATGTTCTTTAACTCTTTTTGTGGGGAGAAGGGGTGCCAAAGATGTCATAATTCTTGATTTGTAATTAATTTTAATTTGTAAATTACGTTTATGTAGTGTGTGTGTGTGTGTGTGTGTGTGTTCAGGGCACACATATGAAGGTGGTCAGAGGACACTTTTTTTTTCAGAGGACAATTTTTGAGAGTCTGTTCTTTTTGACCATATATGTGTTCCAGGGATAGAACTCAAGTCATCAAGTTTAGGAACTGGCACCTTTACCCAACTGGCCATCTCTCCAGTGTAATTCTCATAGATATGGGTGAGAAATTACATTTAAGGTGATGGGGCTTTAAATTTTAACTTGTCCTTTAAAAGCTTCATACACATACATGATGCATTTTATAGACTGAATTCTGTATGTAAAAACAAAGAGCATCTAATTGTATAGCAATTTGATTTCATCTTTAATAACTGGTAATACTGCCAAAGAGTTGTTTTTCAGTAAATTTATTTAATGAATGTTTTATTTGTAATTTTATATGCCTCTATACCTGGGGATCATGTGAAAATTCCTCACAGAAGAAAATACAAGCAGAAGAAATTCAAGAACCCCTGTCATAGAAATGATTGCATCCACATGGACAGTGGCGGCTGCAGTGTCACCAAGCAACACACACACTTGGTGATTAACCTTAAGAGGGGGAGTATAGCACAAAAAATAAAGTACCCAGAGACAGATAATGGGGTTCAAGCTCCAAGCTGAAGATCAGAAAAGCAGAGTAGCCAAGCCACCATCTCTTACCTCTACCTCAGGCTGAAATGGTCGATCCTGTCTCCACAAGCTCTGATCAAGCCTCAGACTGTTGCCTCTCCTAAGTCTGGCTGGGGAATCCAATGCCTTCCTATCAGTGTGGCTGGAGAATAATCCTGAGACTGACTACTGAATGCCCTGCTCTTATCTTTTATACCTCTCTAGTGCTGGCATTAAAGGTGTGAGCTCTGTTACTCTTTTAGACTGATTGACTCTTGTGTAGCTCTGGGTGGCCTTGAACTCTTGAGATATCCATCTGCCTTTGTCTCCTGAGTCCTAGGATTAAAGGCGTGTGCCTGGCTTCTATGGCTAACTAGCTGCTTTGCTATTTTGATCTACAGTGGCATTAATAAGTCATAGACAATGTATCACCATGGGGGTGAATCTTTGTACACTGTATCGGTCATTAACAAACCATCATTATGTGGCTCATTATTTTATAGCAAAACTAATCTGTTAGCCAGTTCAGAAATCTAATCTATTGTTTCTCTTTGTCTTCTGAGCTAATAAAGTAATAGCTTCTTTGAATATGACTTGAGTTATTGACTAACAATTCATGTGCAATATTTATTAAATGAACACCCATTGTATGACTATATAATTAGAAATCCCCATTATTTCTGAGCTGGCGGTGACATTAGATTAGGAGGAAGCATGTGCTGTATTTATACTGAGTCCTCAGTATACAGATGGTCAGAATACCAAGAACACAAGAAGAAACTGGAGGGAAAAAAAGCTAAAACTGATAGTCAGCATGCTGGTGCATGACTGTCCTAGTGCCATGTAGCCAGCCTGGGCTACATACATGGACTCTATCTTTTAAAAAAATATATTATTTTTAAACCCTAGCCCGTGAGACACAGAGGCAAGTGGATCTCTGTGACTTCCAGGCCAGACTGACTGATCTACATAGCAAGCTCCAGGCCAGCCAGGTCTACATAGTGAGACCCTGTCTCTAACACAACAAAACAAAGTTGAAAGTATGTAATCTGAAGCCAAGTGAAAAAAGCATTCAGAGCTAAAGATGGAAACATATTAAATATTTAAACCCATAACATTAGTGATAAATTAAGCCCTGCTTGAATTTGGGGGATGCAGCCTTTACATTGATTTGTGAATTTTGATTATTTTAAGTATCAATTTCTGGGCTGGGTGGTAGTCCATGCTTGTGATCCTAACTACTACAGAGTCTGAAGGAAGATGATTAATCATCTGAATCTATCAGTTTGGATAACATAGATGCTGTCTCAAAATAGAAAAATAAATAAATATACATTTCTGGCTGGGGTTCTGAGTGGCTCAGTGATAGAGAGTATGCTTCGCATGCATGAGATCTAGGACTCAGTCTTAAACACTTCTGAGCCAACTGGGGTTCACACTGCATTTGAAGATTAATGTCACCATACGGTTTATACTCTCAAGTTCTTATGTGCCTATACATTTACATATGATTTCAAATAGGTGCAAAACTAGCTAATCCTTTTTATAATTATCTTGTGCTTACGTTAGAAATACCAACAGTGAAATATCTCTAGCAATAAAACAGTCCTTATCTCCACCTTCTGAGAATGAGTAAACATGCTACCAGGGAGATCGCTTGAGGAAATTTACCTTTACTAAATGTAAATGGCTTTACTGACTGATCTCAGTTAAGAGACATAAATGAAAATGATAAAGTAGATTTAGTTTGTAAACTCCATTTTATTCAGTGTGTGTGTGTGTGTGTGTGTGTGTGTGTGTGTGATTTTTACTTGTTCACAATTGTGGTACGGCAGTTAAAACAGAAACCTCTGACATAACAAAGCTTTTGTGAAAACACTGTAAAACAGAACCCATGGTAATAATCTCTGAAAGCAGTTACAAACTTCCATGTTTCTAAGAAAATAGAACTCTGTGTGTGTGTGTGTTTGTGTGTGTCCTGGCCGTCCTAGAACTCACTTCCCAAATGGGTTGTGACACACAGATTGAGAACTGTCCTGGAGTATAGCCAAATAGGAGATTATTGAAAACAGAATGAATTCATGCTTGCTCCCACGCTGAAGAATCCAGCATTATGGATTGGAATGAGGACCCCTGGTCCGGAATGTACAGGCACTAATGAATACACCCTCCAGTAGAGATGCTTGGCCGTTTTACCCATGGTGCATGAGATTAGTGAACTACATTCTCTGCATCCACCACATTCTACATCTGCTTTTATGTAGTAGGCACTAAGGCCATATGGCTCCTTTTCCAAAAAAGAGATAAAAATTAAACACAATATAGAGGACTTCAAAGCTTTTTCTCTGATTTAATTTTTGCTGAAAAGTTAATTCCACATAATGTTAAGACTGTTTGCTGAAAGAAAACAGACAAGGGAAATCTGGGTTAAGAGACAGACATTCAAGGTAAATTTGACTACAGTAACAAAGTTTAGCCTGGTCACCTTCATGCTGTCAAATATCAAAACATTAAAATCCATGCAACAGAGAAATTGGTGATATACGGATTTTTATTCCGTCCAGTCATCTTGAGAATAAAATGGAAATAATACTGTTTTCTTCTGTTGGCTTTCACAATGAGTTGTTCTTGCTTATGGCTGACTTTCCTGACCTTTCCTAGTTACAGCTGGTGAAAAATTGTTCTTCAATAGAAGACCAGAGTAACGTGCATGAAAGACTTTCTTTTTGAAAGGGCTTTTTGATCTCATGTCTTTTAGAAGAGCAATCAACTAAAAAAAATAAAAAAAACCTCCAGCACTAAAACAGCAGGGAGACTTAGACAGGAATTGACTTCCATTAGTATACTCGTAACAAAATAAAGCTTGCTCTGAAACCACAAGAGGCAGTAAGAAGAGACTGTAGAAAAGCCACTGGGCACTAGAAAATGGATAGAGTTCAGGGGATGTGGGATTACACTGAAATCACACTTGACTTACAAAAATAGACATGGTTCTCAGACAAAAGCAAACAGGTACAAAACAATTCTCAAACATGAACTATTTTTAAAAGGCATGTCTATATAAAACAATAAGATGCTATCTCAGAGTTCCAAAGAGTAGTCTGTTCAAATGGCTGAAAATGGGAGATGACAGAGACAGGCAGATCCCAAGATTGACCCATCTGTCCCACTCTTCTGTTTGGCAGTGTACAGCGGTGGTTGGAGACTGCTTTGAGGGACTATAGAAACATCATGGTTGATTGGTGGATGGTGCTAGGTATGTGAATGAGAAAACCCAAGTTATGGAGTAACCTCTGGAAGTTGAACTCTTTAGCTTCTATACTAACTGGACAATGTTACGGTGAGAGATGACCCTTCACCTCGAAATGACCCTGCCATTCACAACTCATGTTCCGTGCCCCATGGGTTCCACTGTGCCCTAAAGGAACAGCCCAGGCTAAATATGTAATAGAAAATAACTCCAGCCTTGAAATGAGAGGAGACCAGTACATCGTGCTCAAATCACAAACACAAATGGTAAATGCAAAGGAGATGCCATGAATTTGCATCACAGAGAAATGGGCAGCAGCACCTTTCCGTATCCTCTCACTTCTTATTCTTTTCAAACACAAAGTTCATCTGTTTGGAGAAAAATAAATGGCTCTAAAGTTAACGAGTCCCCAGAGAAAACCAGCAGTTTGTGAAAAATGCCCGCAACGGGCTAAGGACAAGCTGCAGAAGCAGTTAAAACAGAAGAGGCAGCCCAAGGTCTTAATTATGGTTTTGGCATAAGATAGCACACTATGGGCAACCTTTTCCCCACCCAGTCAACAAGTCAGCATCATCCGTGTTCAGGTCAACAAACACAAGTGGGTCTTCATCTTTGGTACCACTTCACAAGTTCCTCCTGGTTTGCAATGTCTGCAGAGAAGCAGAAAAGTTGGTACCTTTGCCTTGTCTATGAGCAAAGATGCTGGGATTATGATGGCTGCAACCTCTGAGGCCAATTAAATGAACACTGTAACATGAAGAGAGATGCATCCACTTGCAGGTCCCAGATAATAGCAGCCACGCCCTTACAAGAGAGGGCTCATCCATCGCTGGTGGTTAAGGCCTTCGGTCTGGTGTCCTCAGAGTAGAATTAAACACTGTTCCCATGGACAAGGAGCTCCAGATGAACCCATGGTCTGTGTTTGGACAGAGATTTTAAGTGCTAGATATGCCAGGCACACAAACAGGACTGGCCCGTGACCATCATACTTGAAGAAGCTTCCTTTTGGCAGCATGGATTAGGAACTTCTCAGCGTACTCTGGTGTTAGTCCTCTTTCCTGAGAGAAGCAGCCAGGGAGTGTCCAGGGTCCAGTTAATTCTCTCTGTGGTCTTCTTCCACCCAAGCTACAATTTTCCCTTCCCATCCAGGGATGGCATCCTCATCATGGAAAACCTAGGTTTAAAAAAAAAAGCCACAATAGGAAAATACAGCCTGGACTATGATGCATGCCTGTAACTGCAGGCTGAATCAGGAGGATAGCTATGAGTTCCAGGTCGGGCCGAGTCACAGTGTGATACCCCATCTCAACAGACCAGAAACTACAGAGTGAAGTAAGGTACAGTCACTTAAGCAGCGCTACTGGTGATAAAGAGAGTTAAGGGCTGGCGAGGAGGCTCAGTGGAAAAGGCAATGTCATAAAGCCTAATGACCTGAATTCAATGACAAGACCCACATGGTGGAAAAAGCATCAATTCCTGCCCCCACAAGTTGTCTCTGGCTTGGAGAACAATCATACACAAATATTAGTTTTTAAGATTCATTTTTAAATATATGTATGAGTGTGTAATTATATGCATTGTGTGTGTAGGTATGTGCACCTGAGTACAGGTGTCTGTAAAGCCAAAAGCACTGGATGCCCTGGAAAAGGAGGTACAGGAGGTTGTGAATCACTGGATATGAGTGCTAGGAATCCAACCTGGGTCTTTACAAGAGTATGCACTCTTAACACTGAGTCATCTTTCCAGGCCCACACAAAATTTTTAATATAATTTTAAAAATCTAAACAATAGAACCTTAAACATTAAGGTTAAGAAAGTGTAAAAGAATTACTTAGACTATGCCTTTGGTTCTGTCCTTTAAGTTGAAATTCTGTGTGTGTGTGTGTGTGTGTGTGTATGTGTGTGTGTGTGTGTGATATGATATATATCACTAACACTATTTCACTCATGGGTATTTATAAGAATAGTAAATTACAATCCACAAAGTACTTTGGTCTTCTTAGGAGAAAGCAATAGCGTATGTGTTTAATGAACAAGAAAGAAGACCATTTTGGTACCAGGCATCACATAGAAAGGGGTATAAAGAAGACCAGGGGCTAGAAATTGCTCAGCAGTTAAGAGCACTGGCTGCTCTTGCAGAGGACCTCCCCGTTTAGTTCCTGGCACCCACATGGTGGCTTATAACCACCTGTAACTCCAGTTCTAGGGAATCTGATACCATCCTCTGGCCTATTTGGGCACCAGGGAGGAATGTGGTGCACACACATATATGCAGGCAAAACAAGTATACACATAGAAATAGATGTTAAAAGATTTCAATTTTTCTGTACTATAACCACAATGAAGGCATTTTTGATAATACATCAGAATCCAGAAATTTTTTGTCCAAGGAAGGTTATATATTGAAAATGGATGATGAGGAGCATAGGCTGAGAAAATATTCAAGGGTTAGTGTCTTAGGATTTCTATTGCTGTAAAGAGACACCATGACCATAGCAACTCTTTTTCCCCCTCAATATATGCTTTTATTTAAATTAGAAACATGAATGCTTCAATGTCAATCCCAACTCCCTCTCCCACCCCTCCTCTCTTGTCCCTCCACCAGTCCCCCCAGCCCCCCACCCAATCCCCACATCATTCCCCAGGGAGGGTGAGGCCCTCCTTGGGGGGATCTCCAAAGTCTGTCATTTCATCCAGGGCAGGACATAGGCCCTTCCCCATGCATCCAGGCTGAGAGAGCATCCCACTATCTGGAATGGGCTCCCAAAGATCATTCATACACCATGGTAAACACTGCTCTACTACCCAATGTCCCAGTGATTTCTGGACCACAGCAACTCTTACGAAGGAAAACATTTCACTGAGGCGGTGCCTGGCAGTTTCAGAGGTTTAGTCCATTATCATCATGGCAGGGAACATGGTGGCATGCAGGCAGACATGGTGCTGGCTGCATCTTGATCAGAAGACAACAGGAATTGGCTGTAACACTGAAGCTTAAGCAAAAGAGACCTCAAATCCTGCCCCCATTAAAAAAAAAAAGAAACCATCCCTTGTTTCTACTACCAGGGATTCCCACTATAATACGGACAGTGCTGCCTGTTCCTGCCTGTCAATTATTCTGTTCTGTGGAAAAAGCAAGTGTAAGTTGCTCATTGGGTATGGTTTTAAAATCTATGTAACGCCAGGTGTTGGTGGCACACGCCTTTAATCCCAGCACTCGGGAGGCAGAGGCAGGCAGATCGCTGTGAGTTAGGTTAGCCTGGTCTACAGAGCAAGTTCCAGGATAGGCTCCAAAACAATACAGAGAAACATTGTCTCAAAAAAACAAACAAAAAAATCTATGTAACAAAAATTGGCTTTAAACTTGTAACAAAAGACTGATAATTAAAATTCCGATGTATAGGTTAATTATAAGCTGTTTGCTTTAAGTTTTAAGCCAAATTTGTTACAGATTTTTATAGATTCTTTAACCATACACAATGAATTTACAAATCAATCTTGAGATTAAGATTGCTTACAGGATGGTCTTAAAAGATTTCTGGAGAGCAAAGCCCAGAGAAATCATAGAGATAAAAGATTTAAGAGTGGTAAGTTATAGAACCTTAGAGGTAGGAGATATTGGAATCATTTGCTTGTTTGCTTGTTGTAGAATAATCTTTTTGTTCACTGTAAACATGTGTCGTTGCTAAGGCGCCTTCTGATTGGTTTAATAAAGAACTAAGTGGCCAAAGTCAGAAAAGAAGAGGTTAGGTGGGGCTTCCAGGCAGAGAGAGGAGAAGAGGAGATAAACCGATGTATGGAAAAGATGCCAGAGAACACAGAGAAAAACACGAGGTACAAGATAAAAGAGAGCTGGGCGGTGGTGGCGCACGCCTTTAATCCCAGCACTCGGGAGGCAGAGGCAGGCGGATCTCTGTGAGTTTCAGGCTGGGCTGGACCGACAGCCTCCAAAACAATACAGAGAAACCCTGTCTTGTAAAACCAAAAAAAAAAAATTTCATAAAAAATGATCAGTCATTGGAACTAGAGACATGGCTCAGGTTTTCTTCCAGAAAACCCAGGTTTGATTCCCAGCACCTACATGGCAGCTCACAATTGTCTATAAGTCCAGTTCCTGGGGATCCCACACTGTCTTCTGGTCTCCCTGGGCACACCATATATACAAGTGGTTTGTAGACATACATGTAAACAAAACACTCATCTACAAAAAATAAAGTAAAATATTCAGTCCTGTAACTAACAAAGCTGTCAACATCAGAGGCCATTCTATGGAATTTAAAGCAATTGGTCCATGAACTGAATCTCTCCATTGGGGGAACTGTGGTGGTCTGAATAGGAATGGCCCCTGTAGGCTCCTGTGTTTGAATACTTAGTCATCAGGGAGAGGCACTACTTGGGAGGGACTAGGAAGAGTGACCTTGTTAGAGTAGGTGTGGTCTTGATGAGGAGGTGTGTCACTGGGGATGGGCTTTGAGGTTTCAAGAGCCCAAGAAGTCAGAAGTCAGGCTCTCTCTCTCTCTCTCTCTCTCTCTCTCTCTCTCTCTCTCTCTCTCTCTCTCTCTCTCTCTCTCTCTCTCTCTCTCCCTCCCTCCCTCCCTCCCTGCTGCCTGCCAATCTGGATGTAGACCTCTCAGCTCCTTCTCCAGCACCATGCATACCTGTATGCCACCATGCTTCCCGCCATGATGATAATGGACTAACCCTCTGAAACTGTAAAGCAAGCTGGCCTTGGCTAAGGTGTCTCTTCACAGAACAGAGAAAAAGTTGGTTCAGGAGTGACCAGTAATACTATCCCATCTGCCCGTGGATTCTTTACCTCTTCTTTGACGGTGCCAAACTCGGGATCCAGGGCTTTGAAATGGTACCGGTGATTCCCTTCTCGATCAATAGCTGCTTTGAAATCCTTCAGTGTCACCTCCCCCAACCTGTAACAAAAAAAGAGTGTACAAAAATAGCCTGTTAAAATAGGCTGGGAAGATAATGTTAGCTTTAAATCTATGCCTCTGCCAGAGTCAATAGGCAGAGATAGCATGGCTTCAATACTAGGTCAGGGCTCCTGCTAATCAATATCACTAAAATAGCAGAGGTTGGGCAACCGGTCACCACTTGGAATGTGTATGGCATTATACATCAGGTGATCAGAAAACTCAAACTCATTGCTTTTGCTGTTTTTAATCCGAAAATAAGGTATTCAAAATAAAATTTGTGAAAAAGACCATAAATACATCTATGTTTTCTCAGTTTCTCCCATGAGATAATAGTTTGATACAATTAAATTAAACAGATGGGTTTTGTTTGTTGTTTGTTTTTGTTTCGACAGGGTCTCACTCTGTAGCCCAAACTTGTCCTGAATTTGCTGCGTAGCCTAAGGTGACTTCAAATTCACAGCCCTGTTTTAGGCCTCCAGTGCTAAAATTACAGGTATGGGCCACCCAGATCAAGGATCAGCAGTTCCCCTGGGGTTAGAAAGCTTGCTTCTACCCAGTGCTGTCGAAATGAACAGACTAGGAGACCCTCAGAGCCTCTCTAAGTAGTTGGTTCTAGGGTTTAGTGCCTTTAGCAATGCAAGGCAAGCTCACTGCCACTGAGGTACATCTCCAGCTCCCTTACAGTACATTTATTTCACTGGGAAGAAGTATATTGAACTGAGCTCTGGAACGTTTTCCACATAAATTCTTACAGGCATGAGTTGTCATCATCACACAGTAATAAACACCCACAAGTAAATGCCCAAGGGGTCAGCCTAAAGGTCATGGCTACGGGAAGGGGCTATTTTGAATACTTAAAAGAACAAGTGTTTCCAGACTTGGAGCATATTTGTATAGCTATCAGGACAGGGGGCACAGTTACTATTCCTGTGGGGCCAGGTGTGGTGGCAAATGCCTTTTATCTAAGCACTAGGGAGGCAGAGGCAGGTGGATCTCTATGACTTAGAGGCAGCCTGGTCTATATAGAGAGTACCAGGACAGCCAAGGCTACATAGTAATACTTTGTCTCAAAACAACCAAAAACCAAACCAAACCAGATCAAAATTTGTCAAGCTGGAACTAGAATCTCTATGTCCCAGGCTCTTTAACTGCTCATTTGGCAGTAACTGCATCTTTCTCTCTTTCTTCCTCCCTTCCTCTCTCCCTCTCTCCCTCTCTTCCTCCCTCCCTCTCTCCCTCCCTTCCTCCCTCCCAACCTTCCTTCCACATCCTCTTTTCCTTGCTTCCTTCCTTCCTGTTGTTTTTACAGTGAAATATGACTTGTGCATCTCACCTCTTTGGTATATTGACCATGAAGGGTGTGAGTGACCGGTCAGTGAAATAGAGCACTTTAGTACAGGTGCTGCTTACGGCTGGAGAACTCTGGGAGTGAGGCAGAGCTGCAATCAGAGATGCTGGTTAGAACTTTGGATTCGATTCAAACTATTCCTCTTTTTGTTTACTCAAAATGTCTCAGGAGGCTATAGCTGCCGGAGGTCACAGCTCCACCAGTAGCCTTGCCAAGCCCTGTGTCCACAGAGCGTGGCTTGTCACCACGAGGACAACAGGTGCCTTGGGCATGAGCATCATCATAGGAACCTCATTTCCCATTCATCACAGGGATTTCTGGCAGAGGAATGCCTGCTCCGACAGCACTGTTGCTAAAGATCAAGAGGTCAGAATACCAGCCGGCCAGATTTCAGAGGCTCAGAGTAGACACCCAGCAGGACCAGCAAACTGCCTACATTCAGATCTTGGAATAAGAATACTCACATGATTTGTCAGGGGTGAGGGTGGGGGCTTGGGGGGAGAACAATGGGAGAAAACCCAGAGGCAAAGTAATCCATTCTACAAAACATAAGACCTTTCTCATGGCTGGTCCTGTGCTGAGCATCTTGTCTTTTAGACTTTGTCTCACTATGTAGCCCTTGTATGTTTTCAGAACTCATGATATAAACCGAACTGGCCTTGAACTCACAGAGATCTACCTGCCTGCCTCTGCCTCCTGAGTTCTGGGATTAAAAATGGAGGCCACCAAACCTAGCCTCTTGTGTGATTTTTTTTTGAAAATGTATTACATTTATTTTAGTGTTGGGTACATGTGGAGATCAGAGGTCAACCTTTAGGAGTCAGTTCTCTCCTTCCACAACACAGGACCAAGGATTACAGTCAAGTAGTTAAGATTTGGTGGTAAGTGCTCTCACCCACTGAGCCAGCCTGCCGCTCCTAGAAATATGTCTTTGGGCGGAAAATCTGAAATATTCTACTACATGATATAGATGACTCTGGTAATACCTGTTCCGTTACCAAACAGGGTCTGTACTAATAATCAATTGGTGAAAACAGTCAGAACAAACTAAACACACACACAATTTCACTATGCTTCTGGCACTCTGCATTGTCACCCTCCACCTAAAGCACAACTCAGAGTCATCAGTGTCAGAGGGGAAGGCAGAGGAGAAGGGAGGAGGACCAGGAAGCAGGAGGAGATCCAAGAAAAAATATGCATGCTAAACCCCAAACACCCTCATGAAGAAGGATCTCTGGACTTTGCTATTTTTAATCATTACATTGCCAATAGACTTTTTCATGAAGTTTCCCTATTTATATGAATATATATAGAGAGATTTTGCATTTACAAACACCTTAAAATTCAATAAAAAGCCAGAAATATGTGCTAAAAATAAGAGTTGCTCAGTGGTTAAGAACACTCTCGCAAGGGACCCAGGTTCCCATAACCCACATGGCCACATGGCCATTCGTATCCTTGTTCCTGTTCCACGGGGTTCTGATGCCCTCTTCTGGTCTCCAGAGGCACTGCATCCATATGGTATGCATACATGCAGGCAAACACACATAAAATATAGAGCTAGGCATGGTGGTATACACCTTTAATTCCACCACCTGGGAGGCAATGACAGGCAGACTTCTGTGAGTTCAAGATATCCAGGTCTACACAGTGAGTCCCTGTCTCAAACAACAAAAATAGCACTAGAGGATTAAAGACCCACTAAAAAAGAATAAAAGTGAGTTTTGATCCATGCCTCACACTATATAGAAAAAATAACTCTAAATGAATCATAAGCCTAAACTTAAAAAGCTGAATATTGAGCATAGTTTTAATCCTAGCACTGGGCAGGCAGAAGCAGATGCACTTCTCTGAGTTTGAGGCCTGGTCTATATAGCAAGTTCTAGGCCAGCCAGCGCTACATAGTGAGACCCTGTCTTAAAACAAACAAACAAAAATTTAATGTAATTCTCACCATTTAAAACATGTTAAGCTGCTTTCTTCATTGTCATGGAGACTGCTCAGAAAAACTACCCTGGTAGAGTGAACCAGCCATGCTTTATAATCCTTCTAGTTCCTTCCTTAAGCTGTGAGATCCTTAGCATGTCCCAGTCCCAAAGCAGAGGGTGGCAAAAGGATCGAATTTGTAAATTTTGCTATGAAAAACTTCGTGTAGAACCCTCTAACCTGCTAAGCTCAGTGACCCCCCCCCCCATCTTGGCAGAGATGCTTCCCCCTGGAAAGTCTGCAGACGTTAGGACTGCCCTTTGTTCTTCCAGTTGCTGGTGGATCTCTTCTATATTCCAGCTACCCCTGCCAGGAGTGGCTGGCAGGGAAAAGATCTGATCAGTGGCTGGAGAGATGGCTCAGTGGTTAAGACCACTTGCTCTTGCAGACATGGGCTTTGTTCCCAGAACCCACATGGTGGCTAACAGCTGCCTGTAACTCCAGTTCCAGGGGATCCAATGGCCTCTTTGACCTCCATGATCAAAAGGCAGACATATGATATGCAGACATACATGTAGGCAAAACATCTGCACACATTAAAAAAGAGAAGACCTGACCAAATGTTATGAGTCTTTTTTAATTATTATTGTAGACGGAGTCTCATGCAGCTTAGGCTGGCCTCCAACTTGCTGTACAGTCAAAGACTACCCTGAACTTCTGATTCTCCTGCCTCCACCTCTCCAGTCCTGGGATTACAGGCATGCACCACACCCAGTTTATGCAAAGCTAGGGATCAAACCCATGGCCTCAGGCATGCTAGGCAAGCATTCTACCAAGTGAGCCACATTCTCAGCCCAGTTTCTTGTTTTACTCCAAAGTTATATATTTTTCCCACCAAACTAGGTATCTGTCAATTACTGTTATGCTTCCCACAAACTGCCCCAGCTAGCCTCAAATTCACCATCCTCCTGCCTCAGCTTCCTATAGATGTGTGTGGCAATAGGATTAGCTATTCAAAAACTGTTTCTGTCCTATTCTTACTCTTCTCCTCCAGTGATGCCAGTCTCACACGTCTTAGTCTGATCTACTCTGCTTGAGTTGTGTTTCTTTTCTGTCCCACATTCCTTTTCTCTTTATGTTGAAATTTCACTAATTTCTGTCACCATATTTTTAAGTTTCTGGATTCTTATAATTTTGGTTGTGAGCCTAGCCTTTAACGGCTGAGCCATCTCTCCAGCCCAAGTTTCTGGATTCTTTATGTGTTGAGTCTACTGAGGCCTATGTTGGCACCATCTTCATAGTTATCTGTTTTTTTTTTTATCTTAACCGCTCTAGTTTATTCCTTATAACTTCTGTCTCATGTTGGGATAATCTTTTTGTACACTGTGTGAAGATGTGTCTCTGTCCTCCCTCACCTGCCTAAGGCACCTTCTGATTGTTTAATAAAGAATTAAGTGGCCAATAGCTAGGCAGGAGAGGATAGATGGGATTTCTAGGGAGAGAGAGGAATTCTGTGAAAGACACAGCTTCTTTAAGAGGCCCTACTGTGCAATGGAGCACCTATCTCACTTTCAAATTACTCAGCATCAGCAGGAAAATAGAAAGAAATGCCTACAGGCCCAGCAACATCCCAAGGCAGGTAGGCGTGGCTCCTGGCCACTGCCTATGGGTCTAAGGTTTGGTTCTCACAGAAGAGCAAGCAAGGGCTGCAGCCCAGGACTGGTGGGGTAGCCTGCTGGATGAACCCAGGGGGATGGAGCCAGTCGCCAGCGCCATGTGTTAAGTGGAGCCTCTGAAAGAGCCCATAGATGTACAGGGGTAGTCTGGCCCTTTAAGGCTTGGTTCATGTGGTCAGAGGAAGCTATAGATATTCAGAAAGCCCAGAAAGTCATGTCCAGACTGAGAAAACCTCTGAACAGGTACAGTATACTTTAAAATGTACTTAAGTGCTAAAAAGAAAAGAAAATGTATATAGACAGTCATAGAAAAAAACAGTTTAAAATAATAAAGTCTTTAAAGAGAAAAAATAATATAAAAAAGTCACACAAGGATAGGAAATACCATAACACAGAACCCTATTATTAACTTTAAAATTTTAAATGCTAATAAACAAATAACAAAAGCTACTAAAGACATTGGATTATGGAAAAAAAGCTGCTGAATTAAACCAGCCTATATATTTTAACAATGTCTTATCTTCAAAATGGAAGTCAGGAAATATGTTGCATTGGGGGAGAGGTTATACCCTTGTTTCCAAAGGAAACAAAAAGCTATAGATTCCTTCAAAATTAATAAAGATCAGATTTGACCTGGAGAAACCTCCTGAAAATTTTGGCTGCAGACATGAAGGATGAAACAAAAACTACAAGACAGGTGCTGTATAGGCTGATCCCTCTACATGGGAACAACTCTGAGTTGAATGAGACATAGCAAATCTTGTTGGCTACAGAGTCCTCATGACAATTTGGTTATGCAGTCCAAACAGACTTATAAAGTTAACAGATGCATTTTTCCTGCTCAAACATAGAATAGAAAAATCTTTAGCTGACGTGTGCACACTATACATTCCATACTTGTGTTAATGCAGGTATGTATGTTACCTTTAAAAACTTGCATGTTTTCAGAACAAAAGGACCAGATATCAATGAAGACAGGTAGCCCAGCTGATCCAGCCTCACAGAATGCCTCCATTGCCATGTTCTCAAAAATCTGCATCCAGGACAAGTTCAAAGCAGCTAGCTAAGATTGTACAGCCTCACAGACAACTTCAGCCAGGACTGCACTTTCCCATAACTCAGAGACTGGACAATAAATGATACAGGTAGCTCTCCCAGGATTTGACCATTATACTAATTTTCTCAGGTTCCCTTAAAGATATAATCACCCACAGACAGTAGGAAGCAATTTTAAGAACACAACACCCACATTCACAAGAGGTGGGATGGGTGGTTTTTGGTTGTTTGATGAGTTAGGAATTTTTGTCGTCATTTAGGGGGTTGAATGCAAGTTGTTATTGGTCATAGTTAGGAAGGAAACTAAGCAAAGGAGGTTAGATTCAGGGGCTTCCTTTTTTACTTGTTTCTTTTTTGCTTCTTTCTTTTTATTTCCTCTAGCCTTCTCTCTCTCTCCTATCTAGTGTTGGGGAAAAAGGGGAAGGGGAATGAA